CTACTACTGTGCTGCTGCCACCACTACTGCTGCTGCGTCTTTTAAGGGGAGAAAACCACTCGGTTTTACAATTTATATACAGTATATTGTCATTATACCCCAGAACTGTGAAACGACCAGCGTGAGAAAGAACAGCTCTGCCTCAAATGAAGAAAGAGTTCAATGAGTAGACCGAACAGAGTCGATCCCATACCCAAGATGAGACACTTTTTTAGACTTCTTGACACAAAGCTGCATCTGCAAGAAAGGAGCTGATATGTTTCTGAATCCAATTTTTCTCAAGCCCAATTTGAATGATCACAATAACATGAAAGTGTTTTTTTTTGTTCTCTCTCAAAAGCCCCTTTACTTCCATAACTCTTTTTATAATGCACTTACTTTAAGTACTAAGTGATCTCTTTAATTCTACCTACAGCAGCAAGAGATTATCTCTTTGTGAATAATATCTTACTGTGACCATTTTTTTTCTTCTTGGAACAAGAAAGCTCACAGTACCCATCTCAGCTGCAGATAATGCATCCTACATTATATTATGTATTCAGCAATCTTCAGCAATGTGTGATATAAACTCAAAAAAAAAATGGACAAAAAAAATGTGGGTCCATTGGACTCGATTTGATTGGAGACCAACATTGCAACATTTGTTACGTTTTCAGCTGAGGTGGTTCGTGTTCACACTGCAATGTGTCAGATCATTTCAAAACAAAAATACTTTATTGATTCCAAAGGGAAATTAAATAAATAAAACAAGCCCTCTGAGCAAACTGTTGCCCCTTCATTCTTGGTGGCGCCGCACCAAGAACCACTGAAGGAAACAACATGAATACCTCTGAACAAGACACTGACCGCAACTTAATTTTCACAAAATATGAACAGAAACGGAATACGACAAATTTTAACGGTTGTAGGATTTCTCTTTTGCGTTTGGTAAAAGACCATGAGCCATTGCTCCACTTGCACTAGACTCGCTCATCTGTTTTGGTTGCATTTAACCAATATGCGCTGCGCAACAGTCTGCCTCCTGTCTTCGGTCTCTGGTCCGTTTGGCATTCACATAAGCACTTGAACCACAACAGAGTTCACTTCAAACAAATAAAGCCCTAGGTTTTCAGGCAGAGCAGAGTTCGCTTTTTTGTGAAGCATCAGAGTTGAATTGTGCACTCCCACTTCCCCAAATGAACCGAACCGTCTATTCAAGCAAACTAGAGTTTGATCAAAGCAAACTAGACAGGGCTGGTGTAAATGCATCCTACGAAGAACTAAGGTAAAGACATGATTTGGAAAAATCTGAAGTACCATTCACAGGCCAATCAAACATGACTGTGTTGAGCAATATTTCCTTGAGGTTATTTTTATATCTCCGGCTTTTCCAAAAGCTCTAAATCACACATCTCCATTTCAAAGTATAATTTCAAAATGTGCAATAAAAACACTCCAACCATTCTAGGTATGTTTCATCTTATCCCTAGAATCTGTCAGTGCAGTCTGATTGACAGCCAGTCCTTTCCAACAGAGGTGTGTCCTTCTTCATTGTGACTGTGTTGCGAACTTAAGTCAACAATTTTATGTAAATTACACCATTATTTTTCTGTAATATAGCTCCTTCCTTTTTATACAACCTTCCTCGCCCAAATACAGATGTGCTATTCTAAGAAGACTCACAGTCGACATTATTTTGAGTCCAATGTGTTTTAGCCTGGAGGCAGTAATTCAGAGTGAAATGGATGCTGTGTCAGACCAGCCATACTCTCCAGAGGGATGCAAATACGAGGAAGATCATGCTAATGCATGTAATGATGGACCACAGTGGATGTAGCTGGACTGGAAAAATATTTCAAAAATATATATAGGCCGACTGCGTCTGTATATACTGAGTTTTCTCCAAATTGTCCGTAGATAACACGGCTGTTTGGGGAAGTTGAATCATGGTGAGTGGGCGATTGGCTACCGGATGGTTTGATATTTTCCCTCTAAATATTTTAGGAATATCCAAATAAACTGTTTAACATGCTTGTGTTGCAGTATGTTGTCTGCAAGCCAGAGCTGAAAACCTTCGTATTAAATTTCACTTGCCGTATTTTCAAGAACCTCATTGACGCAGTCCATTCTTTGGCGTATCCTGCATCACATTACATCTGCTTTTACTGCCTCTATCAATTTATGTCAAACATACCAAGAGGGAAGATTATTTGGAAGCAAATCCAACATGCATCCTGAACCTAAAGTCAACTGTTTACTGGATTAGTTGCAGTTTTGATTTCCACAATACAACAGCCGTGGGGCATTAAATTGGAGTGCAGGGTTCCAATCCCTTCCGGTCAGCTTATTTAGATTATTTGATTACTTTGCAATGTAATTTAACTTTATCAGAAGAATTCTTGACTGCTTCGTTTGTTGCAGGTAAACGGTAAAATGCGCATCAAGCGACCAGATTAGAGCTCTGTAAGAGGCAAATATGTGTCTGGAGTGACAAAAGACTGATGGACGGTTCCAAATGTAATACTTTCTTTTTTGTTAAAAACTAAGCAAATTTGTTACATTTAGTTTTTGTTTTTTGTTCGTTTTGACTTCCACATACTGTTTCCGTTCTCAGTGTTTCAAGTGCTTTGTGTATGTGCTGAAATCAACCGCTGCAACCAACATTGGCTTCTGTTCCTTCACTAAATACCACAGCATAAACAGTACGCCTGAGACACAAAGAAACGGGCGGGGAGGAGGGAGGAAGTGTGGACGCAAGAGGAAAAATCGACAGAGAAATTGAGAGTGATGAATGCTGACTGTAACATTGTGTAACTCGCGTATTATTCATTATGCCATCAGTTTTCAGCAGCACCTTAGAGCTGCCAAGTTACACAGAAGATGCATACCGGCAATAGCTGCTTGGTTTAGAGCTTTCACAAAGGTACCACTGAGGATTCTGGACTCCATAACTAGGTTTTGCATTGGCAGTCAGCCTTTAATTACTGCTGATTTAAAGACGGAAAAGCATGGCGAGATTGAGCAGCTACACAATGATAATCAATAAAATCCCAAGATTTCCTCTCTTGTCTTTTATATGTTTCTGTGTGCTTCTCTTGAGATCCTCTCTTATTCAGTTTGCCAGACAAATTAAATAGCACTTGCTTTGTGTAATGGAAGAAACAGGATACATGGTTTTCAACATTTTCAACAAATGAAAATCTGAAAAGTGTGACATTGCATATGCATTTAGCCCTGTAGCATCACTCCTTCATAAAATCTGTTTAGGGAAGTTTAATCTGGGTTCTCGGTTGTGTCTCTACTAGTTTTACATGTCCACAGATTGAAATTTCTTCAGATTCAGATTCTTTGATGAACCTCAGTCAGAACGGATGGACGCATTTCCATTCTGACCAGAGATTCTCGCAATGTAACACATGAATGTGGTTTGTTCTGAATCAGTTCCTTACATTTGCATGCTTAGAGTCTTTTGTATATCCCAAGTCAATTTTATTTAAAGAGGATTTACAAATCAGGAGACACTGACTAAAATACTGACCAAAAAGGAGAATTAAGATAAATGAGCAAAACATGAGTTTAAGAGAAATGACATGACTAAAAAGTAAAAACCCAAGCAAAGGTAGCCACAATGAACTCTGGCAAAGACATAAAATAACATTAACTTATACCATGTCAGAAACCGAAGAGTACCTTCAACATGTGCTCTTCTGGTTTTACCTGTATTTCGCTCCATTCATTTCCTCATCAGTGCTGACCAGCCTCCCCATCTCTGCTGTGAAAAACACATTTCCATAGCATAATGATGCCATCACCATGCTTCACCATTAGGATGGTGTGTTGGAATCCAGAAATACTTATTTTAACTCATGTAAAGCACTTTGAATTGCCTTGTTGCTGAAAATATGCTATATAAGTAAAATTATCTTACCTTACCTTCAGGGAAATGAGAAGTGTTAGTTTTCCTCTATGCATAATGTTTTGCATGTCCAAAAAGTTAAACATTGATCTCATCTGACCAGAACACCTCCAGTAGGACTTGTTATTCTTTTCTTTCAAGAATGTCATACTTCCTGCTTCTCTACCAATAAGGCTCCACTCTGTAGAGCGCTGAACTTAAGAGTTGTACTGTCTACAGATGATTCCACCTGAGCTAAGATTCTCTGTAGCTCCGCTGGTGTTTTTATGGTACTCCTGGGACTAACGCTATCCTTGTCTGGTAAATTTTAAGTTTAGGACATTGAGCCATATAATGACCCTGCTATGAACTGCTCCAAACCTTTGTTTTTTTTTTCTACAAATATTCCCTAACAAAACTCTGAGGCCTTCACAGAACATTTGTGTATATATTGTATAATTGGATTAAACTACACTACTCAGGGCTAATATTGTAAAGGGAGCTGAAAAAACATCAATCAATCTTAAAACTTTTATCATTTTCCTTCCACAGTTATGTTCTGCTCTGTGTAGGTGCATCACAATCTCAATAAAATCCACAGACGTACACTGCTCTAAGTTCAATTCCCCCGCATGAATCCCTTTGCAAGTCACTAAATGTGTTTTAAGATTAGAAACTTCGGGCCCTCTAGTGTCAAAAACTGTGAAGTTGAAAAGACTTCAGCCATGGCTCAGTAAAACCATTAGTGGCTTTTATTTATAAGCTCAGTCTGGCCGGCCATCTTCCAGCTCTGTGGCTGCATTGCGTCCAGATTTCCCAACCAGAGGACAAACACAAGAGGGACGGCATTGTGAATGAAAGACACCAATTAGAAAAGCAAGGTTTCACTTGACGTCTCGCAGTCGATAGTTTATCACTGTCAACGATGTGGCAGAGCAAAACACAACGCTTTAGGCCCATTCCTGGAAGCCTGTTCTGTTGTTTTCAGAGGAGAAATGTAGAGCAAAAACTATCATTTTTTTGAACACAAACTTAAAAAGGTACTCAAGATTTCTTGAAAAGATTTTGGTAACATGTTTGCAGAAAACAACTAACTTAGAGAGTTAGGTGATCTCATTGCCCCCTCTAGCTGCCAGCTGATAGTGCTTTATCTATTCTTCTTATCTGTAAACCTTACTCATGTTGGCTGGCTGGAGAGCTGCTGTGGCCCCTGAGGATGATGCAAGCACTGTTTTTGGGTGGATTTCCCCTGGAAAGCATCAGCATGCAGCCAAAACAAACTACTGCTGATGGCTCGCCTCTTGCCTCCGGTCTCTGTGGTCTGCTTTCAGACGGCAGCCGGGGGACTCTGAACGCTCAGAGGAGGAGGAGCACGACAGTCCTCTTGGCCCTCCCTCGGACTATAAGACCAGAGGCGGGCTGAAACACTCAGACCGCACGCACACGTGGAGCAAAACAGGCAAAGAGGAAGACGGACAAGGGGGGAAGCAAAAGAGCATGAATCTGCCGGCACAGACCAGTTGACTCTACTTGGACTTTTGGAAGGGAAGCAGGTAGAAACAAGTGATAAAGTAGGAAGTAAAGACACACAAAGAAAGACAGAGAGTTTTAATCTTGAGATGCTATTTTGAGCTCTCACAGAGTAACTGAAGATTAAGCACACTCTGGGAATGTGGAGTTTTTTTAAATGTTTTTATTTTAGCAGTTCAGAAGAGAATAAGACAGAGCTGGAATCTGAATGCACCTGTGGGTATAGATCAGAAGACCCGACTTTTTCCACCCTTGACCTTAAGCTCAACCTGCTGATGTTTTGCTTTGAGTAAAAGGAGGTTATAAACCAAGTCTGCTTTGCCAAACGCCACCAGTCGACACGCGTTGGGAGCATCAACACGTTTTTGCAACCCAATCAAACAAGAGAGCAAAGCCTGCTTGGAAGAGCTCCTGAACGGGACTGATCAAATAGCCATCAAAGATGACTTTTGCCATGCTACGCACTCCACCTCCGGCAGGCCGCTTCTTGTACGGAGACATCGGCCTCCTCTCCGAAGACGACGACGAGAACTGCAGCGAGGGCTCAGGCTCCGAGGACCGCACCAGCAGCTCCTCCAACTCTGCATCCTTTCGCCTGTCCTCGTCGTCCCAGTCCGCCTTCCACATCAAGGTGAACAGGAAGAGAAAGATGTGCGGGGGCGCCGGCGTGAGCGTCACAAACTTGACGGGCAGGCTCGGACCCCCGGGCTCGTCTCCTCCCGGCGAAGTCCGCCAGAGGACGGCGGCCAACGCACGGGAAAGAGATCGCACCAATTCTGTCAACACAGCGTTCACGGCGCTTCGCACGCTCATCCCCACCGAGCCGGCCGACAGGTAAGGAGCGATATTTTTTTCATTGACCGTTCCGCTGCAGGTTTCATGTTAATCTTGCAACTCACATCTCATCTGACTGCAGGAAACTGTCAAAGATTGAGACGCTACGTCTGGCCAGCAGCTACATAAGCCATCTGGGGAACGTTTTGCTCCTGGGCGAAGGGCTTCACGACGGACAGCCGTGCCACGCCCCCTCACCTCCATTCTTCCACGTCAGCTCCTCCCCCACCCGAGGATCCGACCAATCGGCTCAGCCTAAGCACATCTGTACCTTCTGCCTCAGCAACCAGCGGAAAATGGTGAGCAGAAAAACAACAAGTCAGAGAGATATCAGCTGTACGAAGGTCAAGTCAAGAGGCGTTTACAGCGACATGGTGGTCGTAGAGATGGGCTGTTGGGTCGGGTCAGTTTTGTGTTAAATACCTGACCTGAGATCAGCAACTGTGCCCATAAACCTCGCTGGCCCTAAGGGGCTTTAAAAGCGCCACCTCTTTTAGAGTCCACTTTCTGGGGTGAACGACCATGCAATATTGTCCTGCTGGGGGTTCGGTTTTACTGGAGCAGCTGGCTTGAAAGTTCAAGGTGGTTCCTAAAAAAAATCCTCTGCACTCCATATACATAAGTGTTTCTCTGTCACAGGAGCTCAGCGAGAGCTCGGGGGACCTGAGTCGTTTTTTTGTTGTTTTTTTTCCCTCAGAACTCCAGTCAATATGAGCGAAAAAAAATATGAATTTAAAGTTTATGCGTGTTTATACAGAGAGATTTATTACCGGGAGTGCGTAAAATCTATTCAATCGCGTGTAAATTCTTCAGCCGGGATTTGACGAGGTTTTAATTAAAACTGCTGCAAAATTTAATACAGATATAAAACCTAAAATAAGAAGAAAGAAAAACTGCCCTCCTTTCAAAGACAAAGCAGAGGTGAACTTTAAAAAGTGTGAGTTTTGGTTTGTCTGATCCAGCACAGGAAATTGTCATAATCAAGACCACTCTCCCATAAGAAACCATCGGTCTGATGAGGAATTACAGGGAATGAGGGATTGCCATCAGCTGAGTGAAATCAAATATTTACGAGCTCGCTCCGGGTTTTGACAAACAGAGCGGAGAATGATAGAGAGTTGACGTCCAGTCAGGCCTTCCTCTATAACCGAGCCGGCTGCCCATTTAGCAGGATTTATTGGTAAGGAGCTGACATCTGGCAGACTCCCCAGTTACCCCAGCAGTGTGTGAAAGCTAATACCCTCCTCAGTGTCTAAACCCAGAGACCCTTTAGCTGAGGGATAACCAGAGTCTCAGCGGCACAAGTCTCACCCCTGCCACCCCCCCTTCTGCCTCACCCTCTGAACTTGTGCGCCTGAAAGCCTAGACGTCCTGAGTGTCTTCACCCAGACGCTCTCAGCTGGGAGATAACTGGCCTGAAACCAGTTTCGGTTTCCCCACCAATCGTTTCCCATCTGTCCCGTCGTTTTATTCTCATCCACATCTCCTTTCGTTTGAACCTTCCCTCCTTAACTACTTCTTTGCATATCGATCAGGCCTGCGCAGGTCGGGGCTGTCAGTCAGAAATGTGAGATACCATCTGCGGCTGCCAACCCGCCGCTGCAAATGCATGACCGACCTGTAAATGCATGCTGCGCGGAAAACAGTTTTGAAACTTTCTGATGTCGGAGCACTCAAACGCGGACACTTTGATAAAGTCCCTCATTACCGGCTGTCAGTCACATTACACTGGTTCCCATCACAGCTGGATAAAAAGCTCCACTGCTCTTTTGTGAGCTAAATGCATTCAAATGATGAAGTGAGCACACATGAAAGTCATTGTCTATATTTTTTTATTTCTTGGTTATTTTTTCAAAGTTTTGAAGAAAAACAAATAAGGGCGATAAGAGATTAGTTAGAGACAAAGTTTTCATAAAAACACACATTGTAATAAATATATTTCATATAGTCCGGTGATATTATGGAAATGATACAACAGTAATGTTTTAAGGCTATTTGGGTGTTTCAAAGTAAGGAAGTAAGGAAGCAGTGCCAGATTAAAAAAGGCAGAGACCTCTGGGTAAGCGGTGCTGTAAGAGACCCCTCAGCTCATCCTGTCACAGCAGGAAGGGCTTTGGGAATGTTGTCCACAACACACAACTTACAACCCATTATTTTAAAACTACGTTTCTCAATTGGCTAAAACAGCGGCTTACTAGATACTGTGGTGTGACTCACTGGTTTATATTAAAACATGTTGCTTCGCCTCCATCAGTTCAGATCTGCAGTTTAGATTCTTCCACAACTCAATGACAAGTTAAGCACTTCTTCATTTAAAGGAGGCTGGTTCAGGGTGAGGCAGGCTACTGTAATTGCTCCTGACCTATTATATTATTCAAATGAGATTTCTAAAAAAAAAAAATGTGTGCTTTTTATTGGTTAGTTGACAGAGATTATATTGCAGATTTTTTTTAAATATGTGAGGAAAACCCCAAAACGGTGGAAGGTTAAAAGCTGATCAGCTAGACGTTAGCGGACTTTAACCATTTAACTTCAGATATTCATATTAAACATTAAAAAATATTGACTCTTCTCTCCCAAAACATTAATTTGACGCCATTTACTCAGCCAAACGTCCTCTGTGTTAGTAGAGAGGTTATGTAGACTGGAGCTGTCTGAAACTGTCTGCCTGATCAGCTAATAGGCCCCATTAGCTAATTCCTAAGCAACTAGTTGCTCTGGAAAAGCACAGGAACATAATGACTGTATGTCCCATTGTAAACACAGCAGCTTGTTGCAAAATCCAAAAGCAACAAGCTTTTGGATTTTGGACGTCCAAAAAGTTACAGTCGATGAGACGGACGAATGCAGCTAACAGACTCTCTGTTCTCATGCCAGATTTTAGCATTTGGAAAACAAGTCAAACAGTTTATATCCATATGTGCAAATATTTCCCCACAAAACTTCCTCTCAGTCAAAATACATCCATGTTAGCACTCTAAGCTTCTGTTGTCTGAGGCTACTGGCTGTATCAACTCGACTCATCAGTTTATCAGTCTGCAAACGGCAGTAATGTAGCATTTTAATGCCACTGCACAAATAACAGCTTCAAAACACAAAGTTTACTCCTGAACTTTGAGATGACTGATGATTTGTAGCTGATGAGGTGATTAGATTCAGGCCCAGCAAGGAGAAGTAGCAAAATGACACGGCTGAGAAAAACTTCGACAAACTTTGTAAATAATCTTCATTTTATTGTTGCATCCCATGGATATGAATGTTTTCAGTTTGAGTTGTTTGAAGTGTCTAAAATCAGCTTAAGATGAAGGTTCACTCTCCCTCTTGCAGGATTTATTCCCTTATTTTCTACAAACTTTTTATTATGTCGTTCATCCACTAGAGGTACGGGAGCCATTCCTTGTTATAATTTTAGTGTATTTACTTACAAAAAATGTCTTATCCACCTTTGTAATTGCAGAATAAGCCAGTCATCTGTCAAACTCAACTGAAGAGGTTCATCCTCCAATACAAAATGCACAAATGAGTCTTAAATTCTTATATTATCACCTTTTATAATACCTGTGGAGTAGCACTTAATGTGTTTTGGGCTTCCTGCATAAAATAATACACTCCTTAAAATGGATATTAACTGAGTGCATTATTTCACAAATTAATACCAGATTAGCAATTGTTCAGAGGAGCAAGTGGTTGTGTCTGTCTTGTATCTATCTGTCTGTGTTTATGCGTAAATAACCATCGGCTCACTTTAGCGTTGCAATAAGCTCAGTGTAACAAAAGGAGGTTTTCTGTGGGATGGAGTCATAATAAAGTACATTACTCATGTTTACTGCAGAGAGAATGTGTCATCATTCACTGTAAGCTGGAATAATGCTGATTAAGTTTCAGTTTCAAACGCTTAAACGTTGAATCACTGCTGTTTTTAAAATCATTACAAGCCATCTGCATTCATACACACAGAACGAGACTTCTTAATAAGCCTTATGATGGATTGCAAATGTTTAACTGTGTTTCTCTTCGGCTTGCATAAGATCTCATATCTGTGTATATTATTAACACTCTCCAGATAAATTTATTTTATTACTTTAACAATAATAAAAAAAATGAGTCCTGGAATGTAAACGATTAACTGTGATTAGCACTAATTTGGAGCGTTTCTTTGCCAAATTTCTGGAGTGTGTAGGAGTGTGTAGGAGTGTGTAGGAGTGGGCTGAAGGGCAGAGTTGGTGCTGGTGATTACAGAGAGCGAGCCAGAAGAGGTAAAAGGGGAGTTTCTGTTCAGAGCTCTTTCTTCGTATGTTTTCATAGTTATTGAGGTTCATCACCGCTGTCAGCTCTGCTTAAACCAGCCGCTTCAGTTACTCCCATTTCCAACGCAGCAGAGGGTGAAAGTGAGAAAAGTATACAGTCATTTCCTCTTATTATGGGTGACTACGGTGTAAGTGTTTCAAAACAAGCGGCCTTGTTACTAATGACGGCTGCGCACACAGCGTCACGTGTGACACATCCAGGCAGGTAGTGAGATGAATACTAATGTGATTTATTCATCTGCTGCACTTGATCCAAGGGTCAAAGAAAGCTGTAAAGTAAAGCAAAGATAAATAAAATGATTATTACTTTTTATATCAGTATCATAGGGAGACAGGAAATTGACTGAATTTTATTTCACGCTTTGATGGATGCAGGTTAGTGTGATGTGTAGTCTGTCAACTGGAAAGGTTGTGAATTTGGTTTCAGCTTTCGTTTTGCTACTTAAACCTTAAAGCTGTTCACCAGTCTCTGTGAAGCCGTTTGAGTGCAGATCGGTGAATGTGACTTGGATTCTAGAAACAGTTTGGCAACTCTTTGAGACTGGGAACTCATTTGATCTCTTTGTTTTTGTTTGGTTGTTTGTTTGTTTTTCTACTCTAGAAATTGCTCCAATTTATGTGCGGTTTTGCTAAATACAACTGCCTGAATACAAATTGTCAGACAAATCCACTTCATTACAATAAAATCTAGTCAGATGTGGGTAGAAAAATTGTAAGTAAGAGTAGCACAACTTCCCCGTGTATTTACTCAAGTAAAATGGTATTTGATTAAAAGGCTACACAAATGCTGAGTAGCTAAAAACATCTGATTTAATACTATAAAATGAGACCTCACAGACAAAAAAGAATTATGTGCAAATTATATATATATATATATATATATATATATATATATATATATATATATATATATATATATATATATATACATATATATATATCATTGATTTTTTCGATATAAAACTTTTAAACTAATACTTATAGTAGGTGTT